GCCCGCCCACCACGTCAGCACAGAAACACCAGAGTGCCTCAGGCCAGGCCATAACCACCTCGCCAACAGACACCCAGGCCCCCTCAGAAGACCCACTCGCTCATCCTGACAGACACGAGAGTTCACCTCAGCCAGGCCCAAAAGGCTTAGCCACAGAAACACCACAGCCACTCAGACAGGCCCGCCTGCCTCACCCACAGAAACACCAGGGTCCGCTCACAGCAGCGCCAAAGCGCTGCAGCCCACAGAAACACACATACCCTCAGCCAGGCCACAAAGCCTTGTATCCACAGAAGAACCCACTGAGCCCCTCAGCCAGGCCCAAACGCCTCAGCCACAGAATACCACCGACCCATCAAGCCAGGGCCAAGCAATCAGCCCCAGATAAACACCAGAGCGGCACCCCTCAGCCAGGCACACCCGCTCTCGATCCTGCAGAAACACCAGGAGTCCCTCAGCCAGGCCCAACCAGCTCAACCAGAGGAAATATGAGAGTCGGGCCCCTTTCCCCAACCGCCACCTGCTCCATGCCTACAGCAACACCAGGGTTTCTCGTCAGCCAAGGCCAACAACCTTAGCCACAGAAAAGCCAGAGCCTCCTCAGCCAGGCGCATCCCTTGCCACGAAATAACACAGTCCGTCAAGCCAGGCCATCAGCTCAAGCCACGCAGGAAACACCAGTCCCTCCAGGCAGTCAACTGGCCTCAGCCCCAACAAACACCCAAAGCCCCTCAGCAGTGCCCACCGTCCTTATCCCACAGAAACACCAGGTTCCCTTGTCAGCCAGGGCCAATCGCACCTCAGCCCACAGAAGCGTCAGAGGCCCCTCAGCCCGTGCCCATCTGCCTTGGCCCACAGAATACGAGTCCCCTCAAGCAGGGGACCCAACCGTCAGCACACAGGTAATTGCCAGATGTCCCCAGTTCAGACGCCACCCGCTCAGGGCCCCCAGTAACACAGGAGTCCTCTCTCGGCCGCAGGCAAACTGCCTCATCCACTGAAACACCCAGCGCTCCCTCAAGCCAGGCCACCCGCCTCATCCACAGAACACCCAGAGTCCCTTCAGGCCAGGCCACGCCGTTAATCGCGAGGAAAAGAGATCCCTCAGCCAAGGCCCACAGCTCAGCTGCAGCAGAAACACCGCAGAGTCCCTCAGCCCGACCACCGCCTCACCCACAGGAACACCAGAGATCGCCCTCAGCCGGACGCAATCGACTCAGGCACCGGACCAGCCCACAGGGAAACCACATGCCCTCAGCATGGCCCAGTCAACCTGTGGACCACGAGAAACACCAGTAGTCACCTCGTTAGCACCGCACTCCCCGTCAGCCCACAGATCACCAGAGCCCCCTCAGCGGCCGACTGCCTGCATCCCACAAGAAAGACACAGACCCCTGCAGCCAGGCCAAGGCGCCTCATCCCACAGAAAAACCGGAGTCCCCTCAGCGCACGGATGGCCCACTGCCTCATCACAGAAAACAGCCACAGACCCGGTAGGCCAGGCCAACGCCCTCCCACAGAACACCAGAGGTGCATCTAGCCAGGCCCACCGGCGCATGCAACAGAAACACCGAGCAGACCCTCAGCCAGGCAAATGCCGCTATCCCAAGAAACACCCAGACCTCAGCCAGGCCAAACGCCTCATCCACAGAAACACCACAGGACCCTCACCAGGAGGCCCATCTGCCTTAGGCCACAGGAAATAGCAGAGTCCCTCAGCCAGGCCTACCCGCCTCGCGCCCAGAAACACCGGAGTTCCCTCAGCCAGCCGCAACGGAGTGAGTCCCACAGGAAAACCGCAGGTACGCTCTGCTAGTCCAGACCGCCTCGCCCACGAAAACCACCAGAGTCCCCCCGGCCAGCCCAACCGCCTTCCACAGAAACACCAGAGTCCCCTCAGGCCAAGTTGTCCAATCCGCCCTCATCCCACAAAAACACCAGATCCGCCTCAGCCCCAGGTTGCCACATCCCTTCATCCACAGAAAAACCACAGCCCCTTCAGCCAGGGCCAAACCGCTCAAGTCAAGGAACACACGCCGCAGAGTCCCTCAGGCGAGGCCAAACGCTCAGGCACAGGACAAACCACAGCCCCCTCAGACCAGACCCACCCGCCTCATCCACAGAAACACGAGGCCCCTCGCGCTAGGGCCAGGACAGCTTAGCCCACAGAAACACCCACAGTACCCTCAGGACAGGCTGCCGCTCAGGCCCGCCTGCCTCATCCCACAGAAACACCAGGGTCCCCTCAGCCAGGCCCAACAAGCTCAGCCCACAGAATCCCCAGAGCCCCCTCAGCCAGGCATAACCGCCTCATCCCACAGAAACTCAGAGTCCCCTCAGCCAGGCCCAACCGCCTCATCCCACAGAAACACCAGAGTCTGCTCAGCCAGGCCCAAGCAGCTCAGCCAGACCCAAGCAGTTTAGCCCCCAAAGAAACACCAGACGCCCCCCTCAACCAGGCCCACCTGCCTCAACCCACAGGAACACCAGACGCCCCCCTCAACCAGGCCCACCTGCCTCAACCCACAGGAACACCAGAGCCCACTCAGCCCGTTCACTTCCTACTTTACAGTCTCCTTCAGGGCTGTCAGACTAGGAGCATTTTATCTCCACTTCCACAGCCCTCGCGTCTCAGGGCTATATGTCCACTCACTCATAGGGACGTTGTGGGAAACCCTTTCCTTCTCCTCCGGGCCCCTCAATGGTAACTGTGAGAGAACTTTTTTCCAGACCTAAGAGAAAGGCCAGGTTTTGTTTCCCATGAGGCTGCAGTGGCTTTTATCACACAGAAGTATGAGATGGTCTGTGGTCTCAGCCCCTAAGCAGACACTGGGACTCTGGGAGCAAATGAGAGGCTCAGTCCAGGACCACAGTCTGCACCCCTTTGGCGGCCCTTCTGGTTTTAACCCTACCTTTGGCTTATCCCTCTGTTTTTTCCTTTTTTTAAAATAAAATCTATAGTTGGTTTTCAGTTGTTTATTTGTTGTTAGAACCACAAATAATCTGTGAAGTGAGACATGTGAAAATAATTGAATATATAATTTTAAAATGCATTAAAATATAAACCTAGCCTAAATCATGTGCAAAAGTCTTGAAAACCCAAGGTACCTTTGCAAATCTGACCAGAGAGCTTTTAGAGAAGTTTAAAGAAAATATTTAATAACTTACAGTTGACAATGGCAATGTTTATTCCTCTGGCAACATTTCCCAGCTTTTCTCCCATGAGCCTGAAATGGAGCTAAGCATTAGTCAAGTACCAAGAGGCATGCAACTCTCCCCGCTCCACGAAGTCTTTGCCTGACCAAATGTCAGTCTCATCTGCTGTCCCCCACCTTTTCCTTGAAGGTCTGCACTGGCCTTGGTGCAGCTCCTGAGAACACCACCCCCATGCTTACCCACACATATCTACTCCCAATGTCTACAGACTCAGTCCCTCAGGGGACCTGGAATCTCAGGGCACCTGGACACTGCATTCAATCTTACAATTTAGACAAATGGCTAGGGTGAAGAAAAACCAACATTTATTTAGCTCAGACTCTTCACAGATGTACTTTTTTGTTAACTTATTATCTATTTATTGATTGAGGCAGGGTCTCACTCTGTCATCCAGACTGGAGTGCAGTTGTGCGATCTTGGCTCACTGCAACCTCTGCCTCTCAGGCTCAAACAATCCTTCCATCTCAGTCTCCCAAGTAGCTGGAACTACAAGCGTGCACCACTATAACTGGCTACTTAAAAAAATTTTTTTTGTAGAGATGGAGTTTTGCCATGCAGCTAAGGGCGGGTCTTGAACTCTTGGGCTCAAGTGATCTGCCCGCTTCAGCCTCCCAAAGCACTGGGATTATAGACATGAGCCACTGTGCCCAGCCATGTCACTTAATTTTTAACCTTTAAATTGGAGAATATGAAATGCCATATTCAAGAGGATTGTGCCCTAAAATCAGGAAGACTAAATGACTTTCCTGGAGATGGTAATTATTGCTGAAGATCACAGAAATTGTGTGTGTGCATGTTGTACATGTGCATGTTCCCACTGTCAAGTGTCAGAATCAATGACGTTAGCTTTATGAAAAGAATTTGGAAGCCTTCCTCCTTTCTCCATGCTTTGGAATAGTGAACACAAAACTTTAATATTCTGTTTTGACACCTTTACCTAAACTCCCCTATGAGTTTTCTAGGCTTAGTGCTTTTTGACAATTTTAGAGAATATTCCATAATAACTTGAAGCAGAAAGAACTTTCTGATAATAGAAAATTGGCTAATCTAAACCAACTCTCTAATAGAGAAAAACAGAAAACATGAGGCAAGTTTTATTGTTGCTGTTGTTGTTAAAGATCTGGTTGTATACATTAGAGACCAAATAAGGCAGTAAAGAATTTCCCAGGCCAAGATCTGGGAGAAGACTAAATTTCATGTTGGTAAGTCCAGCATTTAAAACTACTTTTAACCAAGGAGAATTTTCTGATTCCAGAAAAGGTGTGTAAGGATGTGAACAGCTCTTCTGACAACCATGTGAGCCAAAGGAACAGAAGTTGGAAGCCAAGGTCAGGGCCATGTTAAATCTCCCACATCTTATTTGGGCTGAGGTCACAAAGGGTTGAATCCTGAAAGTGAGAGCAAACCAGAAATAAATCAGAGCTTGTATAAACTTCAGCCTAGTTTTTAGTCAACTAGGTGGCCCAGAAAATCTTTAACACTTATTCAGGTCATCCTGTTCTGCTAAAGGTTCTAGGTCCCTGGGAGAAGCAAAGACAATTCCTCAGAAGAAGATATCATCCCATGCCTCAATTTTTCTAAAAAAACAGGTGCAAGATCATATGAAACCTGACACGTGAGGAAAGAAGCCAACGCACACAAGAGCCAATGGAACCAGCAGAAAACAGTAGATAACAGTGACAGACTCACAGGCACTCTAAATGGTTGTATACATTAGAGACCAAATAAGGTCTAAATGCTTAAATTAGAGACGAAATGCTAGAGTTATCCAACTCAGACTTTAACTATAATGTATTCAAAAACATGGTTGATAAAATTAAAGATTTCAGAACTGAAAAGTACCAAAACTGACATGCTGATTTAAAAAAGAACCAGAATAAATTTCTAAAACTAAGATAATATAGTAACCTAAAATCAGTAGTGAATGAATGGGTTTGACAGCAGATTAGGCACAGTGGAAGAGAGAATCAGCGACTGGAAAACATCTCTGACCATGATAAAGAGAAGAGAGATAAACAAATGGAAAATACAAAATAGATTGTAGGCTATAGAGAATATAGTAGTGGTAAGGTCTAACATATGTTTCATTAAGAATCTCAGAAGAAGAGGAGAAAGTGAATGGGCAGAAGATACAAGAGCAGATAATTTGTTAAATTTGATGAAGGACTTCAATACCTACATATTTAAGAAACTCAAAAAAACTCCAAAGAAGATAAAACAACAAAAGACACACTGGGGTACAAATGTTGAAAACCAAAGACAAGGAATCTCAAAGGTTACAGGAATGAGGGGAACAGGCAGTCACTTTCACAGTAGCAACAATAAGACTGTCAGCTGACTTCTCAAAAGGAAAATATAGAACCTAGAAGACAGTGGAATAGTACCTTGAATATGCTGAAATAAAATAATGGCCAACACAGCCTGCAGAAGTATTTTTCAGGAACAAAGATGAAATAAAGATATTTCAAAGAAACATAAAGAAACATAAACTGGAAGGATTCACCATCAGCAGACCATGCTATTTTTCAGGAATGAAGGTGAAATAAAGATACTTCAGAGAAGCATAAACTGGAAGAATTCACCATCACCAGAACATGCAGCAGCGTTTGCTCTGTGTCTTTTGCTGTAATAAACCTTACCTATAAGTGTAACATGTTATTGGGTCTTAGGAGTTTTTCTAGAGTATCACCGAATTTGAGGCTAGTTGTGAGAATCCTTCTGCAAAAAAACACTCAACAGAAATGTAGGTACATGTGCACCAAGAGACATAAACAGTACTGGGCATAATAACCCCAAACTGGGGAAGACTCAAATGTCATTCAACCATAGAGTGGATAACTGTAACATATTTACGCAATGCAATATGAGACAGCAATGAACATCTAAGAACAATAGCTACATCCAACAAGAAGGATAAATCTCAGACACAAAAGAGTATTTGGTTTATGATTCCATTTATACAAAGTCCAAAACAGACAACATTAAACAAATGTTTAATTAAATAACAGTATTTTGTAATGCATGCTTAGGCAGTAAAACTACCAAGCAAAGTGAGGAAATTAATCGACATAAAAAAAAATCCAGGTTACCACTGGGCAGGAAGGAAAGAGGAAGTTGCATTTGGGAAGGGGTACACAGAGGGCTTATGGAGAGATAAGTGATAGTCTACTTCTTAGCCAGGATGGTGGTTACACAAGTGTTCACATTACCATAATTTATTACAAAATGATATATTCACATGTTATTCATTGCAGCATTATTGGTAATACCAAAATATATCAAACATCAGAAATGCCTATCAGTGCAGAACTAGTTGAATAAACTATGACACATCCATGCTATGGAATACCACATATCAATAAAGGAAATGAGGAAAAGCCTTAGGTACTGATATAGAATAATCTCTATTAACTGTTAAGTGGAGAAAGCCAAAGTCAAAACTGTGTATAGAGTTTACCACCTTTTATGTAAGAAAGGATATATATGTGTGTGTACATATGAGTGTATATGTATATTCATGTGTATATACACATATATGTGCACATATTCATACACACATATACATATATTCACAGGTATACATGCACATATATACATGTATACAAAACATACATAGATATGTATTAATTATATATATATAGCTTATTTTTTGCCATTAAAAAATACTGGAAGAATAAATCAAAAACGAATTTAAAAATTAATGGAGATGGGAACAGGAGGTGGGGAGAAAAGGTGGAGAGGCCGGGCGCGGTGGCTCAAGCCTGTAATCCCAGCACTTTGGGAGGCCGAGACGGGCGGATCACGAGGTCAGGAGATCGAGACCATCCTGGCTAACCGGTGAAACCCCGTCTCTACTAAAAAAATACAAAAAATTAGCTGGGAGCGTGGTGGGCGGAGGCGGCCTTGTAAGTCCCAGGCTACTCGTGGAGGCTGGAGGCAGGAGAATGTGCGTGAACCCGGGAAGGTGGAGCTTGCAGTGAGCTGAGATCCGGCCACTGGCCATCCAGCTTGGGGACAGAGCGGAGATCTCGGTCTTCAAAAAAAAAAAAAAAAAAAAAAAAAAAGGTGGAGAATTACAGGGGGAAGATTTTTCTTGAGCCTCCTTTTTTGGAACCTGTAATGGTTCAAACATAATTGGCTGATTCTGAACAACATAAATATATATACAAAATTAAATGAAACCCAAGAAAAAGAGAAAAACCTAGCATTGAAAGGCAAATGGAAATATAATCCAATGTAAATTAACACTACAGGGAAGATAATATTTCAATTGACTGGTGGCCCATCTGCTTGAGTGGAATGTTGGTCACCTCTCAAAGTCATTGTGGAAATTTCATTGCTATTGCAAACAATATTAAGAGGTGGGACATTTAGGAAGTGATTTAGGCCCATGTGAGACTCTGCCCTCCTGAATGGATTAATGCTGTTATCCAGGAGTGGGTGGGGTTTCCTTATTAAAAGGACAGACACTTTGGCTGGGCATGGTGGCCACACCTGTAATCCAGCACTTTGGGCGAGGTTGAGGCAGGCCAGATCACAAGGTCAAGAGATCAAGACCATCTTGGCCAACATTGGTGAAAACTCTGGTCTCTTACTAAAAATACACAAAATTAGTTGGGCATGGTGGTGCACGCCATGTAGTCCCAGCTACCGGGACTGGCTGAAGGCAGGGAGAACTGCTTGAACCTGGGAGGCAGGGAGGTTGCAGTGAGCGAGATGGCGCCACTGTACTCCAGGCCTAGGGTGACAGAGAGAGGGACTCTGTTTCAAAAAAAAAAAAAAAAAAAAGACAACTTCAATCCCCTTTTGTCTCTCTCTCTCTGTCTGCTGGAGCTGGGACACCCTTCTACTTCTCCTACTTTGAACATGAGAACTCCAGGCTCTCCAGCCTTTAGACTCCAAGACTGACACCAGCAGACCCCCCATCTCCTATTGATTTTCAAACTGAGAATTACGCCATCTGCCTCTCTGGTTCTGAGGCTTTGGTACTTGGACTCAGCCATGTTACCAGCATCCCAGGGTCTCCAACTTGCAGATGGCCTGTCATGGGACCTCTTGGCCTCCATAATTGCATAAGCCAATTTCCCTAATAAATAAATCCACTCTTTCCTTTCTCTTCCTACCTCCCACCGCCATTGGCTCTGTCTCTCTGGAGAGCCTTGATTAATATAGATATCTGACTTTTTATACCCTTAATAAAATATTTTTGAACCTGTAAGGAACTGCAAACAACATTTTTTAACTTCGCTCAGTAGTTGTATTGTTAGTAGTTCTGGTATTGTAATTTGAAGGCAAAGGTTAATAGTACTAGGAACCAAGATTCTCAGTGTAAAGGAAGAGTTAAAATGTAAAATCAAAGAACTTAAGGGGGTAAGACTCCTGCACTGTTGAATTTGAATTGTAAATGTTAATGTAAATTTATGATTTAGAAACAAATGCATTGCTTGGTTCTGTCCACTAAAAGTGGCCATGGGTGTCTAGGTCTCAGTTTCTAAATACCATGCCCCATTAAGGAACTGTCCTTTTAGAGAAATGGCTGATTTCAGTCTGAACAAAGACAGACTCGGCTGTGCTATAAATCAAGGAAGCACAAAAAAAAAAAAAAAAAAGGGCCACTCAAGGAGAAACAGATAACTTAAGTAGTGCTGTACTTATTACATCAATTAAATTTGCAGTTAAAAATCTCAAAATAAACCCTTCCAGGCCAGGATGACGTTGTTGGGAAATCACACCAAATATTTAACGAAGAAATAGTATCAATCCTATATGGATTTTCCCAAAATATTGAAGAAGTGTGAAATATGGACTGCAAACAGAAACAACACCTGCTTTAATCCAGGAGGGTGAGGATCATAAAATAAAACTAAGAAGCTATCAGCTGAATTTTCATATTCCCATGACTTTGAAGGACTTTGCCACATATTCAAAGTAAAGTAGTCTAACTTTGCTTTTTAAAGTAGTCTAACTTTGTTCAGAGCCCACCTGGCCCTGAACACCCCTGAGGCTCCCATGCCCCTACGTCCCCCACATGCCTTTCACTGCATCACTACTGATCCCTACTCAGATCCCAGAGTAGTTGTCTATCATCACCCACAGAACCCTCAGGGCTGTGCTCACTTCAGATTTAAATCCTAAGTATAACTGCAGTCAAATGAAACAGTAAAACCATTCAACACCGGACACATACAGCCATTAGAGACAATCAGCTCCTTCCCTGGTGAATACAGCAGAGCTTTCTCATTTCCACTTGCATGCTCTCAGCCTTTTGCCTGAGACCAACGACATATGGTTCTCTCCTATGGGCAGAACTGCTGCTTGGTCAGCCTCAGGGAAGGTGGAAGAATCAGTAGGATAGCTTTATTTTCCTTCTAAACACTGGTACTTACAGGTCATCCTCAAAGCAGATTTTGGCGTACTTGTTTATGCCACCTCCACTGAGTAACCTGTAGGCATAGGTGTCAGATGGGCAGGGAGTCCAGTGGTCACATTTTTGCCTTTTGGGGACTGGGGCTGTAATGAATCAGAAAGTATATAGCCGTTAACATCCCACAGTAATTTGCAGATGCACCTGCTGCTTGGTGGAGAGCACCAGCACTTCATACCAGAAACTCCAAGCAGCAGTGGGAAAACCTGAGGGGAAGGGTTTCCAGACTTCACTGAGAATTCCCCTAAAGACACAAAGCTCACTGGATCTGATTTTATTTTAAAGTGACAAATAAGCAAAGAGAGAGAGGGATACTGAGTAGCGTAAAAATTTCAAAAGGGCTGGGAATCACTGCCCATGGCTGCCCATTGTGACGTTCTTGGTGGGCAATGTAATTTGCAGTACAATAAAAGAAAGATTACAGGGGTCTAAGAGAGCTGGTGAGCAAAGACAGCCCTCTGTGGAGCATCTATAAAGCGTCCACATCTACACAGCCTTAGACACCTTAAACACACACACATCACACAACATGCCACAGACACTATAAACACACACACCATACATAGCATACAACACATCACATACTCAACACACTGACACACACACCACACATGCATACACACACACCACATGATGTATCACACACACACACACCACACCATACACAGCACACATTCACACACATCATACAACATACTGCACATCTCACACACACACACCATGTACTCACCACACACATATGCACACCATACCATATAGACACACACACACTGTACATGTACACACACACACCACACCACTCCCACACACATTCCCCCCCAACACACACATCACACACAGACACACACACACTCTATACCACATACACCTGACCACCACAGCTGACCCACTCTCCTTCAGTTGAGTGTGAGGAACTGAGCTTTTTGCCCAGGATGCTATGATGTCAGATCCTGGCATCAGCATCCTTATTTCACAGTTGTCAGCAATTTGGGAGGATTGAGGGACCTGAGGCTGGAATGCGAGGAGTCCACCTGGCCCCGAACACCCCTGAGGCTCCCATGTCCCAACAGCCCCCACACATCTTTCACTGCATCACTGCTGATCCCACTCAGATCCCAGAATAGTTGTCTATCATCACCCACAGAACCCACAGGGCTGTGCTCACTTCAGATTTAAATCCTAAGTCTGCAGAAAGGAATTAAGAAAGCACTCTCTCACCTTAAGTTTGAGTAGAGACTTGGCTCTATTTTATGAATTACTGTACTCTTAGCACCTTAAACTAAGAAGTATAGTCAGCAAAATGGTAGATTATACATAAAAGATCACAAGTAAAGAATCAAAGTATACCACTATAGAAAATCATATAATCAGAAACAAAGACAGTAAGACAGGAAGAAAGGAAAAAAGGATCTACAAAACAACCAGGAAACAATGAACAAAATGGAAGCAGTAAAGCCTTATCCATCAATAATTACCTCAAATGTAAATGAATTAAATTCTCAAAAGATATAGATTAGCTTGATGGATTTAAAAACAAACACAAAAACAAGACCCAACTATATGTTGCCTATAGGAGACTCACTTCACCTTTAAAAAATGTATAGATTGAAAATGAAAGGATGGAAAAAATATTTCATGCAAATGGAAACCAAAAGAGAGCAGGCATAGCTATATTTACATCAGTTTAAACAGACTTTAAGTCAAACTTTGAAAAAAGGCAAAGATGGTAATTATATGATAATAAAGGAGTGAATTCATCAAGAAGACATAATTGTGTGTGTGTGTATATATATATATATGCACCAAACATCAGAGCACCTAAATGCAAAAATTAAGAGATCTGAAGGCAGAGATAAACTGTAATACAATAATAGTAGTGGATGTCAATATCCCATTTTCAACAATAGATCAGCCAGGCAGAAAATTATTTAAAAATTAAATTTTGTCTTAGTCTGTTCAGGCTGTTTTAAAAAAAATACCTTAGGCTAGGTAATTTGTAAATAATACAAATTTATTTCTTAAACTTCTTGTTGTTTTTGAGATGGTGTCTCACTCTGTTGCCTAGGCTGGAGTGTGGTGGCATGATCTTGGCTCACTGCAACCTCTGCCTCTCAGGTTCAAGCGATTCTCCTGCCTCACCCTCCCAAGTAGCTGGGACTACAGGCATGCACCACCACATCTGGCTAATTTTTGTCTTTTTAGTAGAGATGGGGTTTTGCCATGTTGGCCAGGCTGGTCTTGAACTCCTGACCTCAGGTGATCTACCCACCTCAGCCTCCCAAAGTGCTGGGATTACAGATGTGAGCCACCATGCCTGGCCTATTTCTTAAACTTCTAGAGGCCGGGAAATCCAAGGTCAGGGTGCTAGCAGATACAATGTCTGATGAGGGCCCATTTTTCATAGATTGCACCTTGTTGCTGTGTCCTGACATGGTGGAAAGGGGCAAACATGCCCCCTTCAATCTCTTTTATAAGGGTGTTAATACCATTCATAGGGGCTCTATAAGTCTTCATGTCTTACTTTCCACAAGGCCCTACCTCTTAATACTATCAGATGAGTGATGAGGTTTCAACATATAAATACTGATGGGACATCAACACTCAGCATAGGAGACTTGAATTGCTCTTTACACCAAATGCATCTAATAGACATATACAGAGCATTCCATTCAGCAGCAACAAAATATCCATTATTCTCAAGCACACATGGAATGCCTTCCAGGACAGACCATATATTAGGTCACAAAACAAAGCTTAACAAACGTAAGAAGATTGAAATAGCATCAAGTATCTTTTCCTACTACCATGGCATGAAACTAGAAATCAATAATAGGAGTACATTAGGCCATTAGCCCATTGCTATAAAGAAATACCTGAGACTGAGTAATTTATAAAGAAAAGAGATTTAATTGGCTCATGGTTCTGCAGGTTGTACAGGAAGCATGGTGCTAGTATCTGCTTAGCTTCTGGGGAGGCCTCAGGAAACTTAAATCATGGTGGAAGGCAAAGTGGGAGCATGGCCAGAGCAGGAGCAATAGAGAATGAGGGTGGGAAGGAGGTGCCACACACTTTTAAACAACCGAATCTCATGAAAATTCACTATCATGAGCACTGCATCAAGGGGATGGTGCTAAACCATTCATGAGGCATCCACTCTTATGATCCAAACACCTCCCACCATGCCCCACCTCCAACAACAGGGATTAAAATTTGACATGAGATTTGTTGGGGACATAAATCCAAATCATATCATTTTGCCCCTGGTCCCCCAAACATCTTGTCCTTCTCACATTGCAAAATACAATTATGCCTTCTCAATAGTCCCCCAAAGTCCAAAATCATTCCAGCATTAACTCAAAAGTCCAAAATCCCAAGTCTCATCTGAGATAAGGCAAATCTCTTCCACCTACAAGCCTGTAAAAATCAAAAATAAGTTATTTACTTCCAAGACACAATGGAGGTACAAGCATTGGGTAAAATATTCCCATCTTAAAAGGGAAAAATCAGCCAAAAGAAAGAGGCTACAGGCCCCACACGAGTCCAAAACCCAGCAGGGCAGTTATTAAATCTTAAAGCTCCAAAACAATCTCCTTTTACTCCATGTCTCACATCCAGGGTACACTGGTGTGACGGGTGGACTCTCAAGGCCTTGGGCAACTAGTCCCACCCCAGTGGCTTTGCAAGGCTCAGTCCCTGAGGCTGCTCTCACAAACTGGCATTAGGTTTCTGTGGCTTTTCCATGCTGAGGGTGCAAGCTGCCAGGATCTGCCACTCTGGGGTCTGGAGGGTGGTGGCCCTCTTCCCACAGCTCCACTAGGCAGTGCTCCAGTGGGAACTAGTGTGGGGGCTCAAACCCCACATTTCCCCTTTGCACCGTTCTAGTAGAGGTTCTGCCCCTGCAGCGGCTTCTGCTTGAGCACTCAGGATTTCCCATATATTCTCTGAAATCTAGGTGGAGGCTCCCAAGGATTAACTCTTGTATTCTGTGCACCTGCAGCCTTAATATCATGTGAACGCCCCCTAGGCTTATGGCCTGAACCCTCTGAAGCAGCTGCTTCAGTGGTACCTGGGCCCCTTTGAGCTATGGCTGAAACAAGAGCTGCTGAGATGCAGGGAACAGCAGGTTAGTGGGGCCCTGGGGCTGACCCATGAAACCATGCTGTATTCTTTTTTTTTTTTTTTTTTTGAGACGGAGTCTCGCTCTGTCGCCCAGGCTGGAGTGCAGTGGCCGGATCTCAGCTCACTGCAAGCTCCGCCTCCCGGGTTCACGCCATTCTCCTGCCTCAGCCTCCCGAGTAGCTGGGACTACAGGCGCCCGTCACAGCGCCTGGCTAGTTTTTTGTATTTTTTAGTAGAGACGGGGTTTCACCGGGTTAGCCAGGATGGTCTCGATCTCCTGACCTCGTGATCCACACGTCTCGGCCTCCCAAAGTGCTGGGATTACAGGCTTGAGCCACCTCGCCCGGCCCATGCTGTATTCTTAAACTTCTGGGCCTGTGTGAAAAGAGAGGCTGCTGCAAAGGTCTTTGAAATGCCTTTGGGGCCTTTTTCCCATTGTCTTGGCTAATAGCACTAGGTTTCTTTTTACTTATGCAAATTTCTGCAGCCTGCTTGAATTCCTCCTGTGAAAATAGGCTTTTCTCTTTTACCACATGGCCAGGCTGCACATTTTCTGAACTTTTATGCTCTGCTTCCCCTTTAAATATAAGTTCCAACTTTAGGTCACTTCTTTGCTTACACTTATGAGCACAGGTTACTAGAAGCAGCCAGGCCATATCTTAAATGCTTTGCTGCTTAGAAATTTATTCCATCAGATACCCTAAATCATCAGTCTCAAGTTCAGAGTTCCACAGATCCCTAGGTCAGGGGCACAATGCAGCCAAGCTCTTTGCTAAGGCATAATAAAAGTGACCTTTGCTCCATTTCCCAGTAAGTTCCTCATTTCCATCTGAGACTTCTTCAACCTGGCCTTCACCATCCACCTCATTATCAGCATTTTGGTCACAACCATTCAACTAGTCTCTAGGAAGTTCCAAACTTTCGCTCATCTTCTTGTCTTCTGAGCCTCCAAAGTTTTCCAATCTCT